AAAACACAGAGAAGAGACACAAAACATAAAAAAAAAAAAAAAAAAAAAAAAAAAAAAAAAAAGATCATATGATCCTGGAGGCTTGCTTTCTGGTACTCTGTCATTTTGTGTAAAGCCCTTAGAGTAGGAAAAATCTTCACAGAGGTGCTGACTGATGCAAGCCAAATTACCCTGCAGATATTGAACGCTTCAGGTAGAAATGGTATTGTTAAGAGCTTGCCAAAACATTTAAAGGGCCTTTTTTCCCCTTACAGGGAATTGCTGATAGGCTTTATTTGATTTATACCTTATTAGCAATTTCTAAGTTTTCTCTTTTGCTGAGCTTGTGCTTTTGAGTAAATCTTTTCTATTTGGTTCTCATTTATGATCCCACATTCCTGTCCAGAGAGTGGTGTTTTTAATTTTCTCAGATGAAAAGCAACTTCCTAGGCAAGTGGGTAAATTAATCACGAAAGCCCACAGTGAGGAGGCGGCCCAGCGGCCCAGTCGACCCCCTGCCATCCATCACTTATGGTGGAATTTCCCACACTGCTCCAGCACAATCTCACACGGTGGTTCCCTTGCCACGTGGTATCCCCAAGAGAGTGGGAAAGTGGATTAAAGGAAAGAAATTGTAAATCACTCCACAAAAGCAAGGCGGTGTTACTATCGTGTAAGATCACAGGGACATCAGAACTATCATAAAGTTAAAGACTTTTTCCAGAATTCCTGCTCACAGATGCTGGGAAAGCCTTCTAGGACCACATGGCTGTCACTTGGCAATGTGTCCGGTGTCATGAGCATGGGCCATTGTAAACCAACCCACACCCAAGCTGCAACGTTCCTTCTGACTTCTCCCACTACTGATTCAGTCATGGGTGGCAGGTGTTTAAAATGTTCATTAGTTAAAGCCTTAGCCCCAAAGGTGTCTCAGAAAGAGATGAATCAGTAACTGCTTTGCTGTTAAAGTCTCAGAATCAAATAGAGCCAAGTACTTTGAGTGATTTAAGGAGGGGGAGTATTTCCCCTAGTCCACCTGATTTATTCTTCATGAAGCATTCCAGAATTCCAACTCTAAAAACATTAACTGCCAACACTGACAAAGTGGATATGAAGATCCTGCAGATCTAGCGTGGAATCCGCTAAACTTGGCTGTTATGACTTCTTTTGCAGGATTGGGCAGAGCAGATTTCCTCATGAGTTATACCATTAATTACTGAGAGTCTCTGAGTGTGTATGCAAGCGTGTGCTTTGTGTCTTTGTATAGTTAACATTTAAGACCTGTCTTGGAAATTACTCTTTGGCAAATGCAGTATCTGGGGGTTCTTGGAGGAGTTAAATCAGTGGAGTCTGCCCATTAATAAGCTTCTTGGAGCACTTGGTCTTACAGGACTGAGGGCGGAGTGTTCTACATTTACAGGCGAAAGAAAAATGTGAGTGATGTGAACACTTTTAAAGGCAAAGAATATCTAGCAAATGTCACTTTCTAGGGTGGAAAAAAATGCAAGTGTTTGCATTCAAAAATCAGACTCGCAGATTTCACAATTTTTTGCAGAAAATTAAAGGAGAGGTGATGCTCTAAGGTCATCTCATCAAGGGAATGGGATCGATCTGCAGCACGTTAACTGAGCTCCACCACACACTTGCTCTTGGATACATGTTAGAGAGATGACCATGATCAGGATGGTACAAACCTTGCCCTCGCAGAACATGTATTACAGTGGAGAAAGAAGACTGGAAAAAAACAGTAAAATGAAACATTACAGGTTGGAAGGAATGCTGTGAAGAAAGCAAACAAAGAGGGTAAAAGAGGGTTGAAAAGGGAAAGTGGAGGCCGGGGATTTAGCTCAGTGGTTCTGCCGCCTGCCTCGCAAGTACAACGTCCCAAGTTTGATCCCCAGTACCAGAAGGAAAGGGAAAAGGGAAAAGGAAAAGGGGAGGTTGGGACAAGACCAGAGGGAAAAGAGGGGTGGGAGCCAGGAAGAGGACTGAAGCAGCAAGTTCAGCAGGGGAAAGAGATGTGCAAGGGCGGGAAGGAGGAAGCCCTTTGCCAGGAGGCCAGGAAACGGGGGGTCAGGGGAAAGTGATGCTGGGTGCTGCTGGATGCAAATGGAGAGCAGCCAGATCAGGTCAAGCCCAGTACACTGTAGCAGGATCGCAGGTTTTGACCTCCAGAGCAGTGGGAAATCATTGAGGGTTTTTAGCTCCCACAGGAATATGATCTGATTTCTCCAGTTTCCTCATCTTAAGGGGATTGTGCAGCAGCTGGCCCATGGTAGCTTGCCAAATGAAGAGGCTTTCTGTAAAGGGAAAAAGTACTAGCATATAAGTTTTCATTTTATTTTAAAGTGTAATTGATAGGCATCTGGAAACTGTGAAGAGAGAGGACCCTGTATTAGTCCCTGAGTGGAGGATCACACACACACACACACACACACATACACACACACACACACCCTTGCAGGTCCAACTGTCAGGTTTTGCTCACTTGGTGTGAAAATATTCCTTCTGTGTCAGATTTGCTTTTCTCGTGCCTACAGGGAATGCCCTTTAGGGACTCAAGCCACCAAAAAGCACCTTCCCCTTTTGTGTCATTGGAAATTATCTGCTGCCACCATTTTCATGTTGATGCTTTGATTAGGGGTTGGACCTGTTTTGGTTTTGTTTACTCCATACCAGCAAATGGCTAATAAGTACAGAATGTGTCCCCAGCCACCAAGCAGGAATTGAGAACAGTGTGTTGAGCACAGAGGACAACACTGACTGAAAAATAAGCAAGTGAGGGTTA